TAGACCTATATCCGTGCTACCTACGTTTAGTAAGATTTTTGAAAAAATCATGCTGGATCAAATACAAACGTACTTTTACAAGAATAAGCTTATGAATCGACAACAATTTGGTTTTACAAGGGGTCGCTCAACAACCGAAGCCGGTGTCGAGTTAATACAAGAAATTTTTAATGCCTGGGAGGATTCACATGATGCGTTAGGTGTTTTCTGTGACCTATCTAAGGCAATTGATTGTGTTTTTCATGAAACATTGATTAGGAAACTGCATTTTTATGGATTTAGAGATAACTCATTGGATTTTATTGTCTCATACTTGACTGACAGAGTACAGAGGGTTGATATCAATGGCAAAAGATCCCCTGGATCGAAAATTAAGATGGGTGTTCCGCAGGGCTCAATACTTGGTCCTTTCTTGTTTTTGATTTACATAAATGACTTGCCTTATTTCGTAAGGGATGATCACGAAATAGTTTTGTTTGCGGATGACACTTCACTTTTGTTTAAAATTAAAAGAGGGTTACCTCTAAATGACGATGTGAACAATTCTATCGCTAAAGTAGTACATTAGTTTAATGTAAATAATCTTCTCCTTAATGAAGGAAAAACAAAATGATTAAAATTTGTACTCCCTAATGTTAAAAAAGTAGATATAAATGTTAATATAAAAGATAAGAACATGGGCCTTGTGGATACCACAGTATTTTTAGGAATAACATTAGATTCTAAACTACAGTAGGGCCCACATATTGATAGATTGTCGAGTAGACTTAGCTCTGCAGCATATGCCGTTATGAAAATACGTAGGTTAACTGACATAGATACTGCCAGATTAGTATACTTCAGTTACTTTCATAGTGTAATGTCGTACGGACTCCTATTGTGGGGAAATGCTGCCGACATACAAACAATTTTTGTGCTTCAGAAAAGAGCAATTCGATCAATTTAAAATCTTAGGATTAGGGACTCTTTAAGGGAGAAATTTAAGGAAATAGACATTATGACTGTTGCTTCTCAATACATATACGAGAACTTAATGTACGTTCGTAAAAATATTAGTTTGTTTTCTATAAAAAGTGATGTACACAATTTTAATACAAGAAATAAATATAAATTAACGGTGCCTGTCACTAGACTGCAAAAAGTTAATAACTCATTCAAGGGTCTTTGTGTGCGCTTCTACAATAAGGTCCCAAGCAAAATACAACAATTAGATATCATGCAGTTTAAATCTACTATTAAAAAAATACTTATTAAAAAAGCTTATTATAAGGTATCCGATTATATAACAGATAAGAACGCTTGGACTTGAGATGATCCAGCAACTGGATAGGTGATTACTTCTAAACTCATTATCTTGTTTCCATTATTATTAAATGATTATGTTATCATTATAAGACCATATTTATTTATTTTTTCTCTAACTCTGTTTATAATGTATAGATCTGGTAATGACATGGTTTTTGTAAATGTCATTACTCTTATTAGAGCTGGTGAGTTTCTTGCTCGTTCTTCTTATCGGCCAAAAGACGTCCTGAACGAGTGGTAGGGAAAAAAATGTTGGACGATTCAAAAGTACTTTTAAGAAGTCTATTTGAATAAAGATTATTTTGACTTGACTTTGACTTTGAGTAGATTTTTTATTTAATTTTAAATGATTTAAGTATGTATAAACAAACTAATGAGTAATACTAATAAATACCAAGTAATATAAATAGCAATTTTGTTAACTTCATATGAGTTAATTTAGAATTAATATTTAACTTGTTATTAAAACCAAGTATAAAATCTACATAATTATATGTAAAACCATCCATTATTAGAGATGTCAATTAATATAGTGTATAAGCGCCGCGGCCCGCGATCGTTGTCGTTAAGCAGCTTTCGCAAGGGTCGGTCACGCGATGGGTGACCAAAAAAAATATTATCTCGAGCTACTCCGTGCTTCGGAAGGCACGTTAAGCCTTAGTCCCGGCTGCATTTGCATTAAATAATAGTTGAAGGTCAAATTTTCATTTTTCAATACCGTTGCATGGAATAATCAGGACATGGAAGTTGCATTATGTTACAACAGTTAGTTACACAAACGTACTAATTAGTTTAATGCCACATTACTCGTTCAAATTTTCAGAACATTAAATATATAAACTTTAACCTTAATGGCTATTATGCAATTGACCATTTGATAAGTAGGTATATACGGATTCGATTCCCAGTCAAGAATTTTTCATGCTAGGGTTTTAGCTTTGAATATATTCACGGTATGTATCGTTTTTTATTTAGTGTTCTTATAAATAATGGAACGCAACCATTAAAAAAAAACATTTTTTCCATTATAATTTTAACGGCTGATCACGTGTCCTGGAAGAGACAGTTGAATATGAACGTGCCTCTGGTGGTCGATATATTAAATTTTTGGTTATCCATCATGTGACTGGACTTACGAAAATTGCTTAATGAACTCTACATCGATTCGAACCACTGCGTTATCAATCTCCATGTCTAGATAAATGTTTAAAAAACGAAAAGGTTCAAAGAAATGAGAAAAATATCCCACTTGTCGAAATTCATTTAACGAAAAATATACAACAAGTCTCTACAAATCATATGCTGATAATAATGCGAAGATTCATATTACTTAACTATAGAATTAAACAAAACGTATGAAATATGCTTTAGGATTTCAAAGAAACTTTAACAACATTATATCTTTTGTTTAAATTCATAATGGTGGAGTTATGATAATGCTCTTTTGTGTATAATTGTTAAGAAATACACTTACATATTGAACCAAGAGTAGTTACAGTGAAACTTATCTCCTTTAGGAAAATAATGTTCAATTTGTCTTGGCTAGAATAAACACCAAAGGCTACATTTAATAAAAAAATACCACGAGACGGGTTAAGGCCTAAACAATTTTCGGCTATTATTTCGCAAACTGCATTGTAATGTTAAGTTCAGTTAGTGATTTAGTTAGTTTAAGTGCAACCACCGTCCGGGGTAGACGTGTCAGTTATGAACAAATGTTTACTTACTTAAGTTGATTATTAATATCAAAATTAAATTCGGTGCGTGTGTGAGTTTTGTGTTAGTGAAGTCCTTAGGGTATGTAATTTTTATTTATTATTGTTTCTGGTTTCAAGTATAGATAACATAAAAGATTAGCTTAATTTAATTCTTGAATTTGAGATATTTTTAAAATAAGGTATCGCATTATTTTTATTAAAAATGACAAATATTAATAAAAGTGTGAAATAGTGATAATAAAAAAACATGAATTTATCCTTAAATAAAGTGATAAAGCATAATAAATATTTTAAAATAAATACCATATCATTTTGAAATAAATATATTTTAAAAATAAAAATCTAGGAACAGTTATTACGGAAATAAAAAGTATGTGAAATTTTAACTAACGTATGACAAGATGTGATAGATTTGCATATCGACGAACGGACATACGTGATAGTGAAGCTATAAAGCTACTTACTGTTTTCCCCCTTTCCGATGCGGAACTTTAAAACGTGTGGCATTATTAAGTTATATATGCAAAGATGTCATAATCTTACGGAAAACTCAAAATATTCTGTACTTCTTAGAATGCGTTTGGCATTTTTTTATACTAGCTGTTTCCCGCGACTTCGCCCCCATTAATTATGATATGTTTTTTGGACATGGTACAATTGTTTCAGAGCCTAGTAAATGCAAACAAACAAACAATCAAGTCCCTCTTTTAAATATTTCTATAGACGACTATATAAGAATGATAAAAACCGTTTCAATACTTTTTCATGATGTTTTCAAGTAATATTATTCATATTCTTTAACATAATCCCCGTGGTTTACACGCCAGTTTCAATGTTTCTCCTGGGCAAGCTTCTCCGTCGGGCCTGTGAAGAAAATTAATTTTTCTATTTATATGTCTACACTACAGGCATTGTGGTTGTGGGACCATCCTTGTTTCAGATATTTATTATATAAGGTCTTGCTAGTTTGGTACTTAGTTTGGGATATCAATATTTGATATTGTGTAACTTATATTTGTCTATAATAATATTATAAAAAGAATATTGTAAACATTTTATTGTTTGTTTGTTTGCATTGCATAAGAAAGTCGTGATATAAAGGCCTAGTAACAATTTTTTAAAAGTAAATTCACTATATAAAAATGGAAACTACCTAATTTGTTGTTGACGTAGCATTTTTTTCTAAATTCCCGGTTCCCTAAGTTTTCATTACAATTTTTTTGTTGGGTATTGTGCCCTGTGCTGCATTGTAGTTATTGTTAAAACATATTTTTGATGTTAACGCGAGTTTCATTTCTTCACAGTTGTAATCACGTGACGTCTACACCTCAGAATGTCATCATTCGATAATACACAATCGCTGGCATCAAATCTGCCGTCGACCTCGGCAGCTACGAATAGCGCCGCATCCAGCGACGGCTCCAACGAACCGGAGCAGTCACTGACCATGTCACCATGTCGTGAGATCAGTACACTGCCCTCCAACAGATGCACGCCAAATTCCATGAACACTACAAACTGTGATTATGTAATGGCAAAAAATAACAACAGTAACTAGGACATGCCTCCAAAAGAAGATACCTCTAACGGCTCCTCTAGCACATCCTCTACAGTGTCCATGAATGCGTTGCCTCGTATGCAATGCCGTTTTTTTGTTATAATTGTAGGCCCACACTCAAATCAAACGCCCAGTTGCGAGAACACGATATTTAACCAATATATCAACTACCGCCTATTGGTGTCAGGCCTCATTCCATCAACATGATTTGTGAATCCCATGGTGATTTAATGAGTTATTATTGTAAAGAATGCACCATTTTTATTTGCATAGAATGTACATTATCATTTCATAAGGAGCATAAGTATACGTCGATAAAAGGTGCTTTTGATATATGTCGCGTAGATCTTATTAAGGCAATAGAATGTACGAGAACTGGCAAGAAAATAATGAACATTGCAATCGACCGTGCAAATACCATGTCAAAAACTTACAACAATGAATGTTTCGAAGTGAAGGAGAAAATAGAGACTACTATGCAGCTGTTTACTCAAGCCGTAGAAAATCGTGAAACATATCTTTTGGAGAAGGTTGAGAACATGCGTCAGTCGAAGATAAACTAATTGAATCAATATATGAATACACTGCGTGGTATGCTCGCTGGTTTATCTCATATAAGTGAATTGATAATACATAGCATAGATTCCGACGGAATAAATTTGTTTATGATTAAAGAAAAGGACAAATATGAGGTTAATTTATTTTCAACTATGTTCAAGAATATGCAGGTGAAGGAAGAGAGAATTTGTTTATGTTACCGAACTATAACTTAGTAGACCAATTAGGGCAGTATGATGTACAACGGATTAACCCGACTTCCGATCAAATACATAACTCTTCTTCCCACCAAACTTTAATGCCAATGCAGTCCTTGCCGGCAGGTCAGTCGTTACACGCTTCAAATTATCTTGTTACAAGTACTAGTTGTATGACGGAGTCAGATTATTCATTAAGTGCAAAATCGCGTTATTACGACCTCACTTCATCCTTAGTTATGGAATCAACTATTTGTACTTCACTCAGCATTGGACAAGCCATTCCAGGTTACTGGAAGTCAGTATATGTAAAGCCTAATTAGTAGCTTACGCCTTGAAGAGCTTATGTTTTCATTTGTTCGTGAGAGACCAAACGAAGCTGAATTTGCTAAATCGTAGGTTTTATGTATAGATATCGAAGGCAATGTAATAGTTGCCGACGTTTCGAAAGAACGGTGAATTTAAAAGCATGTTTGGTTCTAAAAGCGCTGGCCCTGTTGAATTTGACCTCCCAGCTGGCATTACAACTGACATATTTGACAGAATTATTTTTGCAGATAAGGATAACCATAGAATCCAAATATTTACAATGGCAGGAAAGTTCATCCTCGAACTTGGGTCATTTGGTAATAGATGTGGACAGTTTTATTACCCATGGGATGTAGCTACAAATACCTTAGGAAACATTGTTGTGACTGACACGCGTAATCACCGAATTCAACTATTTACAACCAACGGGACTTACATCACCCAATATGTATTTGAGAGTCCTAACTCAACCACAGTGTTGAGGGGTCCAACAATTTCGAGAGGTGTGAGCTTCACAACGTTTGGCAACATAGTAGTAACCGATTTTAAGAACAATCGCATAATAATGTTAGATTCAACTCTATCAAAAGTTCTACATTGTGCAGAATGTGAAGGTTTCGGTACTGGTGAGCTAAATCGTCCATCGGGCGTTGCGATCGATGATGAAGGTCGTATTATCGTAGCAGATTTAAAAAGTATCGCGTAGTCCTATTAACTTCGCAAACTTCGTTTTCTGTCTACTGTGAACGCAGCCCTAACTAGAGAGGGTCATTTGGTGGTATTTTTTGAATCTCGGTTTATTGCAGACACGGTTTGCAATATCTCTTCTTTTTGCAATAACATTTCCCCGGACTTCTCGTGCAAGCGTTTTATCAAAATATATTCATAAGTTCATAATCAATTATTATAGCACCTTATAATTTTGAGAGCTACGTCATGTCATCATTAGAAAAGCTCGAATAACTATTTCCTTAAACCACAAATATATTTATCTAGAAGGTACTTTACTGTAACCTTAAAAATATATAATCATCATCAAAAATACATATATTTCATAAAATGTTGCTATACTTTAATTTAGTATATCAATATTACTGCCAACAATAATAACTTCATTTTCGAAACATTCATTTGTTTAACCATAACGAATCAGTAATCAGGTCTCGTATAAACAATGTTATTATTTGCAAGGTATTATATTTTGTAAGACATTTGTATGAAAACTAATTAAATTAATCATAGAAAAAGTATTTTTTTATTTCGACATACCCCGTGTAGATGTTATATTTTCATATAGGTATGTTCTTACATACCGACATTACAGTCTTTCATTATCTATGTACCTAGTTACTTCTATGCATTACATACTAGCTATTTTCCTGCGACTTCGCCCTCGTAAATTATAGCTTTTGTTTACCGTGTATGATGTGGCTCCCGTGGGTGAAAGAATTTTCATTATCAGATCAGTATTTCCGAAGATTACCCCCCTAAAAAAACAAATAAAGTTAGTTAACTAACTTATAAAGAATCTTTAACTCTTTATAATATTAGTAAAGATTATTATAAACAGACATAATAAATAAATGGTAATTACTTTTATTCGAAATTCGAATAACAAATTAAAAACAATTCAAGAATTGAAAGAAGCTGATGGGAATGTTCGTAGTTGCCACTCCGTTCCCAAAAGAGGTCTTGCTGAACGATTTTGAGTCAACTAACTTTAAAGACAGTTTGACAAACTGAATCGTAAGTGATTCGTACCCGTGAGTTGACTGAATACCTGAACAATTTAGCATTAGTATTAAGTAGTACTTATAGTAGGTGGACTAAATAGAACAGGTATTTGTATCGAGTATTACATTGTACTAGGAATACGTGAACTCAGAATCTTTACCTAGTATAACCCCAGACTAATCTAATAATAAACTGAATTGTAGATTATTCCTTCCCGTCAGTCCACCGTATGAATACATAAACAACCATATGCCTAGTTACTTAATAAAACATAGCAGGTCTGCCTACCTTTTGCATATAACATCCACATCAGATGCTGCTTTGCGTTAGGGATATTAAAACCCTTGTTACGTTTTAGAGAAGATTTTATTTTATAGAAATTCTAAAACTGAGACAGTGCTTCTTCGATGTATTGTTAAAAGAAGAGCACTATATCTTAAGCCGAATTTAAATTACGAAAATAATTGCATGAAACTAAAAACTAGTGTTACGAAACTAATTTCGATACATGTCAATTGATTTCGTAATGTCGTACAATCTATAGTATCTCTTAGATACTGGATTCGCCAACAGCGAAACTTCATTATGCGAAAATGTTACTATGTCAACAGTTTCCCTTAAACTAGCATACAGCCTTTCATAGCGTCTACGCCGTAGCGTATACACTACGAAGAGATATTGGTTCCGTTTTTGGTAATTTATTGAAATACTATCACAAAATTTTATTGCCTATAACTCAATTAAAAGATGAAAACTACTCATTTTGTACATTTGTTTACTTATATAATGAGTATTTGGTTCTGAATAGATTTGGTACATCTGGAAAATAATACGTGCCAAGCCACAGCAAACTTTTATCTTACGGAAACTTTTTTGGAGTATTACTATCCTGCTCTAGAATCTATTTGATACTATAATAAATGAAAATTCCACGAGAGGCAAGCAGATACAAAAGATTTGGTTTAGACTTTTCTTGTCAAACTGATTTGAAATGTGAAAGTTAAGTCAGTGATTTAGTTAGTTCAAGTGCAACGATACAACTGTATATCAATTACTTACATGTTGTGTAGTTTTTTATAAATAAGTAATTATTTAAGCAAATATTTTTAACAAATTATCAAGTATCAAGAATTATTGAATAAAGTAAGAACTGTTAACAATAAGTATACAATCAACTATTTGCGAGTATAAATTATTAACTATTGATAGTTCTTATTTCATTCAAATTTTCGTGTATTTGTTAAAAATATTTGCTTTTCTCAAGTAATTATTTATCTCGACTATATATACGAATATCAGGGTATTGTGTTATTGACTTATTTTGGGTATATATATATATTTGTTTTATTCAATATTGTATAAGGTAGCTAAGAAGTATAAGATATGAAATCTTTAATTTAATATGGACATACTACTTGACTCTCAGCGTACATAATAAATCGATATAGGCTTTATGATTTTATTGGAAGATAACTCAGAAAAAACACTGATAAGTAAGCACTGATTTTCAAAACAATTTTATTCTAAGGCTATGATAACTAACACGTATATTCTATTAAATGGCTTATTCCCATTCGATATGAAAAGAAAAGTAGTATGGCAATTCCGTTGAATCAGAATAAATAAAATTTAGATTCTTTAATTCTAGTAATGTCAAATTACATTTTAATTCTATAAATTCTTATAAGAAATAAACATAGTGTACAAAAGAGTAATTGTTATATTAAATACTACCACAGAATAATCATTAAAGTAAACCTGTGCTAAGTGCAACAACAGAATTGGTTCCACTGTGGTATTATGATGTATAGGTAGGTCACACACACACGCAACATATACTTATAGATATATTTGGTAAATTTTATGAAATATATCTTTTATTAATTGTGCTGTTGTCGGTGGTCTTCTTGTATTTTTTTTTTTGTATTATGGTCCTGCTACTGCTTCTGTGGTCTGGACTTCATAATTTTATACCTATAACCAGATATTTTATTACTATATTGGTGTATATGTCGTAACCAAGTAACGAAACAAGATTATGATGATGACAGGATTAAGATGTAGCTCCAGAGGATAATAAAAATATATTAGACGACGTAATAAGTTTTTGAGATATAATCTTAAATAAATTTTCTATATGATAGACTACTGTAGGTAATGTTATATGTTAGAAATTTAATATGATTGAGAAGCGAAGTGTAGCGTTCGTATTTAATTTCAAGGTAATTTTTTTCCGATGAAATACAACCGTTTCATGAAATGGCCGGCCGGATCATGAAACGATAAATTCTACAATATGGCCACGATATATACAAACATTTAATTTGACAATTTCATTTATTGCATATAAGCATTTACCTTGTATTTATTTTTTGTTCTGCTCGTAGTGGTGGATGCTGAAAACAGCATTATTTTTAACGGATTTTCTCTGAGGCACGCACACACTCGCATAATTCAGATAAAATAGAGTACTTTATGTATGTAGTTAAGTGGCATGGACGCCATAATACACTATAATATAAATGAAAAAGATCATTATAATGCCTAAACCACGTCAAATATGAGTGTAAAATAAATATTTAGTTTATTGTTAACAATTTACATACAAGAAGAAAAACAACAAGAACAGAATCAACTAGGTACCTGTGTGTAGAAGGTAGAAAAGAGTTATCAGACGTGCGACGCCCACTACTGAGCATAGACCTCGTCCATAGATCTTCACGACGATCGGTCTTGCGCAGCTCGCATCCAGCGGCTTCTAGGCTCAGTGCACTAAAACCACCTATGTGTATGTAAAGCACTGATTTTCAACCGTCGCCCTAGAGATTATCAGAGAAATAAGAACAAATAGATGTTCTGTTAAAAAAAATTAAACTAAAAGTACAAAAAGGTAAAAATCAGATAGAAAAGTGGTCAATATCTTGCATTCACAATGCTAATTAAAGATACTAGAAAAACAATGTTAAGAACAAGGTTATAAGACTAAGTCAAAATTTTCGATAGATAAATAAATATTGTATATTAATTTTAGAATGATAGTTTTTACGGCATTGCTACCACGCCATACCCTGTTTTAATGGAATTCCTGATATTTTGGTACTGTTAAAGTAAAAATCTGTCAAAATCAGTAATCAGCGTTTATAAGGCAACAATTTTCATGGAAATCGATTTTTGAATGTTATATTGAGTGATACAATTGCGTTTAACTTTGGTGTTCCTAGCAAAAATAATTTTATTTCCCCATTACTTCGTTTTTTACTCTTTTGTGTCGAACTGTACACGAATAAATAAAATACTACCCGTTTTCACTAAACTACTTCCAACGCCCGTTTTTAGTAACCTAGAACAAGGTATAGCTTTACTAAAAATCACTTAATATTAAGAATAGCTTTAAGCAGATTTTTCGTTTCACCAAACCTGTAACTTTCTTTTTTTTTATGCGTTTCTTCTTTTTTTTTATGTAAACCTGATTCCAACAAATCGCTTACATTTTGACTAATTTCATTCTAACAACAAGATCCAGACACTTATAATAGTAGAAATATTTATAACATATGACTAAACTGTGTGGAGCAGATCCTCATTTGTCGAAACTTGTCGTCAACTCTTTGAAGATAATTTTACTGGAATTTTCCGTGCTACCTACCATGCAACAAAACTTGGCACTTTATTGGGTACATAATTACTACCATAAATGATTATTGAAAATAAAAAAACCCCGACACAAAAACCAAGGAACTAAATATGTATTAATAATTTTAAAAAATACGTCGCGTTGGGGGACGTATTAAATTGTTAGCTTTGGAACGGTAAATATTGGAAACTTGGTAGCAATCCTGTAAAAACTATAATTCTGATGTAAATGACAATGAAAGGTTAAAGCAACATAATAATAATTATATTTGGTAAATTTTGCGTTCACAATTCGATTGTGGAAAATATTCTTAATGAAATATGCTTAAAAATCCACTT